AATACTTTTATAAAATAGCTTAATCCTAGTCTCTCCAGGAAAAATTGTTATTCAACTGTGTAGTTCTCAGATTATTAAATTTGTTTCTCCAAGAGATAGTATCCTTGAAAATGTGCATAACACCCCCGCTCCAAATCCTTGCAATTTACTTATACTGGGCCAAGCCCCTTCTGACATCAAGTAGGATCAGGAAGTGCAGAATCTTGTAATCCTCAAGGTAATGGTTGGGGGATATATTATCTTTTTTCCTTCAAAGTGCCATTGATAATTACTGCACGTAGGAGCTATGGAGAAAATTAGTTATCATTTGTTGAATGTCTACTGTGTGTCTAGAACTATGCTAGGAACTTAATGAAATCGTCTCATTTAGTCTTCAAAGTTGCCCCACAAGGGACTGTATTAATGTCATTATCTTGATTTTACACATGAGAAAAATCAAGACTCAGAAACAATAAAAGTCACAGAGATGAAATTGACAGAGCCTGGATTTCGGTATGTCAGACTTCAATGTGCCATTATACTTTCAAATCCTACAGAATAGATTGAATCACAACTTCCACTTTTGTGTGAAAGAAGACAATGGGTCTTACGACTTACCATCAATTTCCCTTTCCTGATTTAATTAGCTGCTTCTGTGTCTAATTCTGCTAGGAATGGAGGAATAACGCAGACTCTCTAAACTACATATTGACATGTATACTAATGTGAAAATCTCAAGTCCATTTGCAGACTTTTGGATTAGATTCTGTCCCAGAAAGACATCCACCCTAGAGTTGAGGATATCATAGCCATTTTACTGTTCCCCTGGCACAATTCATAATAAGGAAAAAAAGACAAGGGGAAAGCTATTAGATTCCCAGTGCTGCTAAACAGGAGACACAAGGACACCGTTTTGTGATGATGATGGTGCTTTATGCAGCTTCCACCATTTACAAGATTTTCCTGTGGTGTGGAACCTCTGACGATAAAGGGGTGAAATGGAACTAGAAGCTTATTCCAGTCAAGATTTCTGATTTATCTTGTGGTAAGCATTTGGGGAGGACGTATCTGCACATGACCTGAGACTAAGTAGTATACACTGAATCAGATGAAAATTAGCTCTTAGGAAGCTTAGAATTTTCCAAGCAGTTATGACAAAAAGCAAACTCTCCTTCTCTCTTCCTATATGTACATACTGACATCTTTATCATTACTGTCTTCCTAGGGTTATGATTCTGTTTGGTTTCTTTGATGCTGTATTAGACCTGAGCTCTGATTGAAAATTCTTCCATGCTCACTACATTCCAAAACTTTATCTCCAATATGAATTTCCAGATGCCTCACAAGGTCTGAGCTCCATGTGAAGGCTTTCCCATGCTTGTCACGTTCACAGGGCTTTCCTCCACTATGAATTCTATGATGTTGAATAAGGTCTGATTACAAGTCTTTGAACATTCGTTGCATTCATAAAGTTTCCACTGTGAATTCTTTGATGCTGAATAAGTTGTGAATTACCCCTCAAATCTTTCCCACACCCACTGCATTTATAAGACCTCTCACCTGTATGGATTCTCTGATGTTCTATAAGGACTGAGTTCTGGCCATGTGCAGTGGCTCACGCCTGTAATCCAAGCACTTTGAGAAGCCGAGGCCAGTGGATCACCTGAGGTCAAGAGTTCAAGACCAGCCTGGCCAACATGGTGACACCTTATCTCTACTAAAAATACAAAATTAGCCTGGCGTGGTGGTGGGCACCTGTAATCCCAGCTACTTGGGAGGCTGAGGCAGGAGAATAGCTTTAACCCGGGAGGTAGAAGTTACAGTGAGCTGAGATCATGCCACTGCACTCCAGCCTGGGCAACAGAGCAAGATTCCGTCTCCAAAAACACACACACAAAACTCAAAACGGAACAGATGCAGAAAAAATTCCAGAGGGATTTATTTGTGATGCCTGTTCAAAACTCAAGAAGCCACCACCCTGATACTCATCAAACCCTGGAGAAATTCCGTTTCTGGAGTGTCAGAAGGCCTCATGAATAACCTTCCATTCACTGAAGGAGGTCCTTACCCAGCAAGCCCCGGTCTCCTTCACTCTCCTGCACTCGTGCCTCGCAGATGGCCTCATGCGCGGACTGGCGGTCCAGCCTCCCAGGGGCAGGGCCTGGGCGCACCCCG